GGAACTGTACATGTGAAAAGGAACTTGAATTGTAGTGGAACACAAGCTGAATATTTAGGGAAGTAGCACTGAATACAAATTACCTACTGATTTTTAAAATGTCTGTATTTGATAGTAGAAGCCTAGTTTTGAAAGTGATTTGATCATTCTATCATGTATTTTCATATGAATAATGTGAGGGCTCTTAAAATGATGTAACATTTTAAGATGCTGTTTGAGTTTGACATAGCTGCCAAAAAGAGAAATGAAGTTTTAGCCTGCATGAATAGGAGTATTGTTTGCAAATCGATGGAAGTAATCCTTCATGGGTTAAACCAGATGAGGACTGTATTCTATTCTGGACATACTTTAAGAAGAATTGAAAGAGGAAGGAGTACTCAGGAAACTGAAAAAAAAAAAAAGAGTCCTGTAAGAAGAAATTGAGATAAATGAGTCTATTTAGCTTTGAGAAAATATGAGTGAATGAAGTTGCAAACAATACTCCTATTCATGCAGGCTAACAAGTATCCATGAATTTGGAAGGGTACTATGAAAAAGAGTACTAGAGTTTGAACTCAGGAGCATAGATATATATATTAAGGAGTACTCAGGAAACTGAAAAAAAAAAAGAGTCCTGTAAGAAGAAATTGAGATAAATGAGTCTATTTAGCTTTGAGAAAATATGAGTGAATGAAGTTATGGGAGTACTAGTCAGATACTTGAAGGAGTATCAGCAAAAAAAAAAAAAAGGCAAAGCCTCTTTTTGTGATGCAGTGGTTAAGGTGTTAAGCTAGGATCTGGGAGATTCAGCCTTTGATACTTGCTTAGTGTCATGGCTGGCAAGGCAGGAACCAAAAGTCCCCAGGCTAGAAAGAACTGTTAGATAAATATATCACCACTGCCTCCCAAGGCTATCAAAAGACCAACCAAGTATCCATGAATTTGGAAGGGTACTATGAAAAAGAGTACTAGAGTTTGAACTCAGGAGCATAGATATATATATTAAAGCTCTAATTTTCTTTGCTCTGCAGTGGGCAATCAACTACTGTGTTAAGACTTCATTCCTACCTTCAATAAAACTATTCCAACTCAGTCATGTCTGTAAGTCCTCTGCCAAGTCAAGTGCTGAACAACAGCTAAGGTCTAGACAGCTGTGATTTAATGCCAAAGTCTGGCATGAAGCCTGACATTAGGTGAATTTTGGCCAGTCACTATATCTTAGTCCAGTCCGCCCCACAGGAGTGTGAGCTCCTGGAGGAAAGGCACAATATATAGATGTAACAAATAAATTTATCTACCCAAAGTATAGAATGTGAAATAACCTTAAGTTATAGGAAAGAAGGCTTCTGCTGACTGTAGGAAAACCATCCAAGTTGTAAGAAAGTTCAACAGTGTAGACTTTAGCAATTAGTGAGGGAAGTGATGAGATCCCTGTTGCTGGAGATTTTGAAGCAGAGACCAGATACCTATTTGCTAATGATGCTTTAATTAGAAGTCACGAATAGTGAATTGAGCTTTACTGGCTTAACCGGTCTCTTTCCACCCTCTGATTTTAATAGTATGGTAAAATTAATTTAGGGCACAGTTTTGTTTTGCCTCAGCTCCTGAGGAGACTGTTAAAGGGGCTTTGTCTTATTTAGGCTGAACAAATAATAAAGCTACAATATGTTAAGAGCTTGAAAATTAGTGAAGTTTGTAGTAGGAATGACTCACTGACATAATGGAAAAAGGGTCCTAATTTCTTCTGGAGGCATTGAAGTGTCAAATAAATTATAAATGCATAAAGACTCTTGAAAATTTGAGTTACATTGGAAAGAACAAAGGAATATAGCTGAATTCCACACAACAGTGCTGACAATCTGAATATGTCACTGCTGAGAGTCACGTTTCTGTGAGATGGGTGGCACATAAATATAATCAATCAATCAATCAATCAATCAATCAATCAATAAACGTATGCATGTACGTATGTATGTATGTATGTAGTGGCACAGTTCAGCCCTGGGATAAAAGGTTGAAGCTCTCTCACCTCTTCTCCCAGACCCTAACTCCACCTCCTGGAGTTACCAAATCCTAATGAGAGTGTGGAATAGAGGGAAATAGGTGATGGGTGAAAATAC